TCATCTTCATCTTCATCTTCATCTTCATCTTCATCTTCATCTTCATCCTCATCTTCATCTTCATCTTCATCTTCATCTTCATCTTCTCCTTCATCTTCATCTTCATCTTCATCTTCATCTTCATCTTCATCTTCATCTTCATCTTCATCTTCATCTTCATCTTCATCTTCATCTTCATCTTCGTCGTCTTGGTCTTCATCTTTATCTTTTCCTTTATCCTGATCTAAATATGTCCATTCCTTTCTTCATTTACATATTCACCCCCACCATTGTTATTAGGTTAGGTATTTAAATTTTCCTTCCTCTTTGTCTTTATGTTTAGGTTTCTTTACTTTTATTTTAATTTCTGTTTTTATCCCTTTCTTTTTTCCATACTCAACTTTACCTTCTTCCTTTTTTGAGTCTAATCTATTCATGTACATACATACATACATCTTATTCCTAAACTGCTGCTTAGCACGTTTCTTTAATTCACTATCAATATTAAAGCATACATTTAGGAGGCATTTCCGCCCCAACCATGTACATGTATGGCATTGGTATTGGTGTGACTTTTGAATTGATTTTTTCGCTCTATTTTAAACTAATTTGAAATTTTAAAAATTGCCTGCACATCAGCATCAAAATACCTTTCTAATGATATATAATTGTTTATACCTTAGAAGTACAGTTTAGCCGTAAAAGGGGTGTAAAGGAAACATGATTGCCTATTTATGTAATTGATGATGTAAAATTTTTATTGGCTGAATTTCTTTATTCATTCTGAACGTTTGGAATAAACTTTTTTGTTTACTTATTCTTTAGAACGTTCCTGATGATATGTTAACGTATATTTCAAAAGCATTCTGTTTATTTCGGCTGTGAAATGGGATTATCCGGAATGTATAAAGAAACGCAGCCATTATTTATCAAGAACTCGCATTATAGCACAGAAATCAAAAGCTATTTTCTTGATAAATTATCAAGATTGAAAATGCTATTGACAAGCGTTTACAAAATGAAATTTCATGTGAAAATTATAAATTTTGTATATTAAAAAATTTGTTTCTATCATTTAAATCCTGAATGTGCCCGCATTTGAACCTACGGACCCGAGCAATTAAAGTCGACATCTCTACCTACTCAGCTACGGCAGTCAAACCCTTTTTCATTTTTAAACTCATATTTTTCATATGTGACAATGAGATCAGTTCACCTCATGTTGAAATCGTAGAGATTTTTATTTTATAAATATTGACACAGGATGCGAAGGGAGCTTTTACTTGATAAAAATCTTATTAAAATGTCTTTACAAATAATTTATGAAGAAAATACAGAATTGGGCGATAATTTTATATCTGAATACTCGAAAATTTTGTACTGCAGAAAATTTATTCAAAAATAAAAGGAAACCCGAACGAAAGGAAAAAAGGCCGAATCCGACCGGTTTGGGCTGTAGGGAGATGGATGTTAGATGTGCTGATGTGAGTGGGCATATATGTGAGAGGTAGGTGGTTAGTCTTATTCAAACTTGACTGGAAACTTTACCCTGCTACAATATCCAGAATGGAGTTGTGTCAAAGAATCGCGACGCTTGCGAAGCAGCTTGAGCTCTTCGTCTGCGATAGATGGCGTTGTTCTCCGATGATGGAATTCAAGGAGTGAGAATTTTTATATTCGGTCTGGTTCAGCGGTTGGTGTATTCCCATTTGCAAGACAAGGGGTTACATGTTCGAGTTGACAGCTGTTTTAACCATCTAATCTTGTTAAGATCAGTGAACTCCATTACTAGTGATTACTAGGAACAGTTCGATTATTATTTAGCCTAATTGATTTCCAAGTTAAATAGATACCTATTTCTTGCAGTCATACGATGCTTTATTACTGTAGAAAAATATTTGTTTTTGTTATTTTATGGCCTTATAACAATTATATTCAACAATTTTTATTGAGCATGAGTGCGAAGGCAACTGGCTGAGTCAGTAGGATCGTCGGTTCGAATCCTACTGAAAGAAGTCTGATAAGGAATTGTAGTGATTTCCGAAATAGCTATCACTTCTACCATTTTTTCAAATTATTGTTGCTTTTCCACAATAAGGTTTTCATTATAAATGGCCTCAAGCTCAATAAAAATTGTTGAATGTAGAAAAAATATATAAAATAAAACCGAATCGTACAGTTTTTTCTTAATTTCACAATGGCGGAACGAACCGGTTTTCATATTGCCATTTTTTCGAATAATTCGAAAAACCGTTTTCGAGAAATGGCGAATAATCGAACACCCTATTGTTTACGAATACGCATACATATATATGTTCACTTGTAATGCACACATTTCGTATTCCTCTGAAATTTTTTTGTTAAATATTACCAATCTTGCTACGCACTAATACCATAAATAAATATTTTAATATTAAAAGTCACTGTCTAAACAACTATTAAAGGCATTTTTTGATTCAATCGGCACGAAGAGTGGTGTGTGGGTGGAAAAAATCACCGGTATAGTAAGTAAATACTGTCAATTGAGTATCATTGTAAGCTACGCACCAGATACAAATGTAAACATAGGTAGGTAGGTGCGTTAACACTCAAATGTACTCAAAAAGGTATATACATACATAAGTACACGTAAATATGTAATGTATATCTAGATATGTACATATGTGTGTACATTAGGGTGGTCCAAAATGCATATGAAAAAGTAAAGTCGGAATTTTAATGCTCTCATCTCCTAGGATTGTTCTATATTGGAAAAATATACCCCTATTTTTCTATTTTGAAATCAAAAAATATTTAGAGGTCGCTCAAAGCGCTCAAAGATTTCCACATATTTTATATGGGAGAAAACAACTTTTTGCAGAAATGGTATAGAATTCTTGAAAACCAATATTTTTCGAACGGAAAGCTCTGGTGCTCTTCAGAAATTTTCCAATAATAATAGTCAAGTGTTTATTTAACAATTTTTTAATACCAAGGATTTTTATTGGTCTCCTTTTTACATTTCCTGTGGCTTTGGCGGACCTATAAAAATGGTTAAATATGAGTGGGAATCTCTTGAAGAGAAACAGAATTTTCCTATTGAAAAATATTGATTTTCAAGAAATCTATACCGTTTCTACGAAAAGTTGTTTTTCCCATATATGTACATAAACCACCTGGAAAATTTTGAGTGCTTTGAGGGACCTCTAAATATTTTTTGATTTTAAAATAAAAAATTGGAGTATATTTTTTCGGTATAGAAGAATCCTAGGGAGAACATAAAAATTCCGACTTTATTTTTTCACATGCATTTTTGGATGACCCTAATGTACGCACATATTTCCATTTGTATGCAACCACTTGTAAAATCCAAAATTCCGCTGAAAAGTCACAGCCGAATACGAAATCGTCGACAACAATGAACTCGTAAATCCAAATGAAATTTTTACAACAAACTTGTTAAGAATTCTCAAAAATCAGTCCAGAAAACAGTAAACGGAATAGTGACCAAGCAAATGAAAATTTCAAGGGCTTCACCATTTTGTTCGTTTTTTCATTTGCCCTTTTCTGATTTCACTTCTTGCATTTACAGATAAATAAAAATTTCCTTATAAATAAGCGAGCTGCAAGTAACAAATTTGTAATCAGCATAAAATAAGCGAAAACCATAGAAAGCGAACAACGAATGACAGCCCACTTGAAGATAAACAGCTGCAACAACAACAACAACAACAACAACAGCAGCAGCATCTTATAATACATACACCAAATGTTGTATGCAAACAGCGCGATAGCGGAGATCGCGGCAAGATTTTGGGGAGCGTGCCGGCAGCTGCAGTGTAGTTAGTAGATGGGTACACCCACCCACCTACCAACTGCCAGCGATGGCCTACCCATGCTGCCTACAACATTTTGATTGTGATTTGTTTTTTTTTGCTGTGACTTGTTTTTGGCCGCAACTCAGTTGTTTTTTTTGTCGTTGTTGCTGGTTGGTTGGTGTAGTATAATGGGGCAACTGGCACCATTAATGAAAAATCGAAAATGCTGCTGTGGTGAGCCTCTGTTGCTGCTGCTGTTGGCGTTGCCGTCGACCGCAAAAACAATAGCAATAGCAAGAGCAACAGCGGGAGCACGCAACACATTTGGCATCGGCAAGCAGCCACATTTGAACTCCGCCAACACCAAAACGCTTTCTACCATTTTGGTGTGCTGCTGGCTGTTGCTGCCGTCGGTTTTAGTGTTTTTTTTTTTTTTGTTCCATTTGCTGCTGCAGCTATTATTTGTTGCTGGCAATCGCTGATGCTGTTGATTACATATATTTTGCCGCCTATAAATTGCTATTGTATGAACGTTGCGCGCTTTTGGCCCATTGCTCGTACTCGTATTTTTGGCTTTTGGGCTTTGTCGTGCTTGGCGTGTTTAAAATCATTAATAAGCAGCGGCAACAAACGAAAATCGCCCATTGTTTGTGCTGCGACAACAACAACCACAACAATGGAGGTTATAATGCCAAAAACATTGACAATATCAGCAGCAACAAACAGTTCACTTAAATGTGGCGCATGCGCTTCCACAAGTATGACTTCTACGAAAGCGCGTGCGCATGAGCACCAGCGCAGATGTTTGTTTTATTTGTTCGTTGGAGCAATTGTTTGTTGCGTTGGTGTAATCGCCATAAAAATGGTAAAAAATTATGGTGCACTCACTTCTGTGATTGCGTGTAGGTGCATCGGAGTGTGTGTACGTGCTAAACCAATGGATTAAACGGATTTATGCAGCATCATTGGGAAACAACGCAAATGAACAACAATAGCAACCATTTCAAGTAAAGAAAATACGTAGTATAAATGCGGTGACAACAAACAGCTAAGTATAATTGATCATCATATCTTTTTACTGCTTTAGAGTTATGGAAGATGCTCGACTGTTATTTTTTTTAAATTATTTGGTTAAAATGGAAACAAAGTCTTCAAAATTTATTTTAAAGCTTCCAATTTACTTTTTAATTTTAACGAACTATGGCCGGTTTCCCGACAGCAATTTAAGTGAAAAGCAATATTTTTAAGCTTCGTATTTCGATGTAATTTTTAGTTAAATGGCAACTACAGCCCGCTTAGTTTGACTTAAATATGATTATTTGGCAACTCTCGAGAGAAATATTCTGCAAAAGATTTACGGGTCTTTGCGCGTTGGCTATGGCGAATACCGCAAACGATTTAACGATGAGCTGTTTGAGCTTGACAGCGATATAGACATACATACATAGTGCAGCGAATTAAAATTCAGCGGCTCCGCTGGCTAGGTCACGTCGTTCAATTGGATAGAAAGGCTCCAGCTCTGAAAGTATTCAAAATTTTTCCGCAAATTAAGTACAATTTTATAAATCGTTTTTCCATCCCTGATGTAATATCAGCTGTAAAAGAGGACCAGAAACAAACAGCTGATTGCTATTTCTTCAATAAACATACTTCAAAGTCAAAATTAAATATACCCAGCAGGGTTGCATGAAAAAATTCAATCAATTAGCATTCAATTAAGCACTAATAAAGCAATTAAGAAATGAAATTTTGTATGATAAATCGAACTCAATTAGCGTCTGAGTCGAGAAAGCCTGACTTATTGCTCGATTAGTGGCCTGTCTGAACATACATTTATATGTAATAGTGTTCGCCCAGCGGTTGAAATTCAACCGCTAAAATTAAGGATAGTTAATGTGAGTTGAGTTGAGGTGAAATAACATTAGTTGAAATGGGAAAAGTGCATGGGAGTTTAACTTAGTACTTAGCATAACATAATATTTCATAGCATAACATAACATACCATGACATAAGATTACATAACATAACATATGCAGCATAACACACAATAACATAACATCGCACATTCTCAGTTGTATCTCCTTTTTTATCTCTATCACCTCTTCCTCTCCATCTTTCTCCTCTTGTTTCTCTATCGTTTTTTTTTTTTGTTTATGTTTATATTTCATCTTCCTCTTCATCTTCATCTTCATCTTCATCTTCATCTTCATCTTCATCTTC